CCCTTGGGTGGGGGCAGGGGCTGCACGGGGGGGGGGGGCTTCTTGAGATTTATGGTCTGAGAAGTGGGATAGACGTGTAATAAAAACGTGATACAAAAATAAATAATTAAAAAGGCATATGTATACACATGCACACTGTTGCCAAGAGGGAGAAAAAGGCCACGAAATGCCCAGAGTCCACTAGGTCTCTACGTCTTCTCTAGCAGCCCTCCCATGTGCACGAGAGAAGCTGCACGTGGCATTCGCATTGAGGCTCTGGCTAGGATGGTCTTGGCCCACCTGCTGGGTCCCCCTTGTGTCTCCTTGCCTTTTGGCCTCCTAGTTGGCTTCTGTTTCTCTGACTTGGTCTGTATCTGCCAATGAAAGCTGGTGCGGGAGGGAGGGAGGGAGGAGACTTTCCCCCCCTCTTGGCCGGCTGCCCCCTGGCCCCTCCCCTCTAGGCCCGTGAGTCCCTCCGGCCCCCCTGGGATAGGTGAGCTGCCTTGCATGTCTTTGGGGAATGAACAAACTAGACCTGTGGCTGCCGTGCTAAATCTGACTCCGCCACGCCCCGGGACCCACCCCCCGCTTGCCCCAGAAGGTGCCGGATCTTGGGATTGGGTGTGATGTAGTCGGCCAACCAGAGATCTCCATCTCTCCTGGTTGTGCCGGAAGATGCTGGTTCCTGGGATTTGGCAGGCAGGTGGGCTGGCCGAATCCTAGCTGTGTTGTTCCAGGAGGCGGGCCGTTCTGATACCTGCAGACCTGATCTCCCAGCTGTTACACTGATCCTGAGTAGTTTGTAGCCTGGTGCCGCTGCTCAGACATGGGCTCTGCTTCTGCCCCCCCCCCCCAGGTCTGGAGCCAGGGACGGAGTACACCATCTACATAATCGCGGTGAAGAACAGTCAGAAGAGCGAACCCTTGATTGGCAGGACGACGACAGGTACCGGAACCTGAATCTGGCTGAGCATGGAGAGCCGGGGGGGGGAGGGGGCTAATGCTGCTGCTGCCGTGCTTAACGTTGCCTTGGGTTTGGACAGGGCAGGGGGTGTGGGTGGGTGTGGGTGTCTACGCAGCATTCTCTCTCCGCCTGCGTGTGTGCGGACGTCTGTGGTTCTGCTGCTCTTCACAGTTTGAACAGTGATTCTTTATGCAGGGCAATCACGGGTTCAGTCTGATGGGCTTGTTTAGAAGACTCTCGCTTTTGAGCTCTTGTGTTTGGAGGTGAGACTGTGGTACCCCTCTGAATCCACCAAAAGCGAGGGAACAGTCCAGCCACAGGTAAACACACATGGAAAGTCTCCAGTGCTTTCAGTGTGAGTTTCCTTTGGTTTGGGTCCGTTCTTGCTTCTACTGGATTCATAGGAGGAGGTTCAGTCGATGAAAACCGATCCTGCCTCTTTTGGATTTATGTAGCTGGTTTATACCCAGCTGGGATTCAGAAGAAGAGATTCAGAGGCAGGTTGGTTCTTCCGTTTCTGGAGCCTTGACCCAAGAAAACTCCTCCCCTGCCACAAATTTTGCTAGTCTTTAAGGTGCTCCTGAACTCTGGCTCTTTTCTACTATCAATGAAAACGAGGGTTTTCCCCCTAGGAAAATGTAATTGAAGTCAAAGGTCTCTCGTTCATCTATGAATTCTTACCTCTAACCTGGGAGAACCGGGTCTGATTCCCCACTCCTCCTCCACTGGCACCTGGCTGGATGACCTTGGGCAAGCCGTAGCTCTGACAAGAGCTGTCCTTGAAAAAGAGCAGGTTCTGTCAGAGCTCTCTCAGCCCTGCCTGCCTCCCAGGGTGCCTGTTGTGGGGAGGGGGAGGGAAAGGAGTCTGTAAGCCGCTCTGAGACACCTTCAGGTAGTGAAGGGCCCATGGGGTATGAATCCAATCTCCTCCTCCTCCACCTCTTTCACTTGGCTTCCTTCACCTCTGAGTTAGGAAGGGGGTCCCAGGGGTTGCCATCCCAGGATGATCGATCTCGTCACAGGCCCCGAGTGCTTCAGGCAGTCATCCTTCTCCTCCTCCTCTTGAGCAACCGACTGCAGCTGATAATTGTGTCCAAAACGCCAGTCAGGGTTTTGCTTGCGGTCTCGAGGGTGTCCTTGGAAGGTGATTCCAGAGTCGTGTCCTTCCTTCGTCTTCGGGGGGGGGCTGGGCTGGTGGTGGGCTTGGCCAGTTCTTGCCGCAAGGCCTTTCGGGAGTCTGCGAACGAGAATGCTGCTGGCATTTCATGGTTTGAATCCGGAGCAGTGTTTCCTGCCAGCGCGGCTGCCTCGCGCGCCCCCTAACAAACGCAGTGCTTGCGGTGGCTGGCGGGCTTGGCTTCATTTGCTTCTAACCTCTCTTTGGCGTAGATGTGCTTCCCCACCTGGTCACACACCCGCACCCCGGGCAGACTGGACCGGAGATCCTGGACGTGCCGTCGGTTGTAGAGAACACGCCTTACCTCACGGACTCCTATGACAATGGCAATGGTATCCAACTTCCAGGCACTTCTGGCCAGCAGCCGATCCTGAGCAACCAAGGCCAGCAGGTCTTTGTGGAAGTGTACGGGTCTCGGACCCCCGCAAAGACGACCGTGGCGACTCCCATCAGGCATCGGCCGAGACCGGATGTGGATGAAGAGCCGGGCCTGGTGAGCCGGCACCCGATACGTATCCCGGACCTGGACGAGCCTTCTTACCCTCACAGCCTGGGGCCCAGGAACAACCACACCCGGCTCCAGGAGGCTCTTTCCCAGACAACCATCGCGTGGAAACCCTTGCTGGAGAGCTCTGAGTATGTCATCTCCTGCCACCCTCTCGGAGCCGAAGAGGAGCCTTCAGAGGTACGGCCGCCTCGCTTGGCCCAAAAAGCATGTGGCGTCTCTCACGTGGCTTCTGGAGAACCTCCGGGCAGCAGCTGGGGGAGTCTCAAGCAGACGACGGGTGGGCGCCGTGGGTGGGTGGGGGAGGGGGGCCCTGTGGGTGGCTGCAGAGATGGGTGCGGGAGACAGATCGGAGGAAATAAGGGAAGGAGGCTTGTTGTAGGAAGGGCAATGCTCCCTCTAAGCCGTGGAGTCTCGTGAGCAAAGATTCCATTCTGTGAGCTCCTGGCATTCAATTGGTGAGCCAGCGGTTTGGCTGCTGCATCAATTAGTTTGCTTGGGAGACATCCTTTCTGAGCCAAGGCAAGAATGTGTGAGCCAGGGGCTTAAAAACGGTGAGCTAGTTCACGCTAGCTCAGCTTAGAGGGAACACTGTGAAGGAGCAAAGAGGAAAGAGAACACCAGAGGGGGAGGTGAAGGCAGAGGAGGAGCCATGCGATAGACCCTGCCGCCAGGAACACCCCCACCCCACCCCACCCCCAGGCCGCCCAGCACCAGAGAGCTCTCGGCAGAGGCTCGACTAGATGGTGAGATCGTCACCCTGGAGGCACAGGGAGGAGCATTGGGGAATGGCAGGATTCGGGAGCAGAACAATTGGATTGGATTGTGCAAAACAGGGTCCGGCTCCAGAGGCTCTTGAGAGGCCTAGACCCGTCTCAGAGCTGGTTGTCTTGGTCTTCTTTTCTTTTTTGGTGAAAGCGAAAGGTTGCGTCCTCATGCGTTGCGTTCTCTCCACCTGCAGTTCAAAGTCCCCGGCACTTCCTCCAGCGCAACCCTCACCGGTCTGACTCGGGGCGCCACCTACAACATCATCGTGGAGGCCGTCAAGAACCAGCGGCGGCACAGAGTCCTCGAGGAGAAGGTCACCGTGGGCAACGCCAGTAAGAACCGCCAGCGTCACCGGGGGGGTGGGGACACACCTTGTGAATGCCCTCTCGTGCGTCAGAGTGCCTTTTCCGCCAGCTCCCTTCCTTCATGTGGTTCCAGGGGAAGACCAAGGCCAGAGATCTGCCCAGACCGGCCCGTGGTCAGGGCCGAAGTGTGCAGGCCGATGGGTTTTGCAGGATTTTTATTGGCAGCCCATCACACAGCCGAATGAACGAGCGAGCTGGCTTCAAAGGAAGGGGGGGTGGACTCATTCTGCCAGCTGTTGTCCAGAGGCCTGCCGCTGTGCACCTGGGGGGGGGTCTCTGCTGGCTAGGACTATGACCCCTGTGTGAGGAAGAACTCTTCCTCCCCAAAGCGGTTCAGAGCTGCTTGCCAAGAATAGCTGTGAATCCAGAGCGGCAGTAAGGACACACGGGGCCCTTGTGGCACCCAGAGTCTGCTTTTGCGGCAACAGACCCACAAGGCTGCCCGCCAGGGGCTGAAGTCACAGTGTTCCGTCCCTGCACAGAGCAAGCGGCTTCTTTCGTAAGGGTCTCGTTAGGGCTGCCACTCTATTCAAGAGATCATAGTCTGTAGTAAATCCACATGAACCTGAAGGAGCCGTTCTGAAGGCAAAGCCTGCCTTGTTTTCCAGTGACACAGTCAGAAAAGAGGCACCCCCATCTAACTGTGGGAGGACTGCTTTTTTTGAAGGGGCATGTTTTGATCGATTGGGGGGGGGGAGTTGTATTTTTTTTCATGTGTGAGTGATTCCATGTACAGCAGGAAGTCATGGCGACCTCTGGTGATTGCCTGTGTGTGCGCCTGGAAGTCATGGCGAGCCCTACTGGGTGACTGACCCCTCCTGGGGGCCTGGAGGATATTCAGAGAGGTGGCTGAGTAAGGCCTGCCCCCACCTCCTGCCTCTGGTACTCCAGGGAGGTCTCCCATCGCAAGTCCTTGCTGGAGTCGGCCCTGCTCAGCTTCTGAGATCTGACGAGAGGCCGGGCTGGCCTGGCGGTCCAGGTGTGTGAGGGCTAATCCAAGGGCCCTTGGAAGATGGGCAGGGCCTGCCTTGCTGCCTCTTGGCCTCGGGGGCAAAGGCCACAAGGTCTCCAGCGGAGACTTGGCCACAGGCTTGCTGAATGGCAAAATCCCCGTTCCTCTTGAAGGCCGGAGCTGGGATGGACTTCTCTGCAGATCTTTCAGCCCTAACACAACTTTTGCCCATGGCCTTCCTAGCCATAAACATTGAAAGTGGGGGGGGGGGGGACCAACCG